CACCACTATTTTTCCGATAATTTTTTTTTTTTTTTTTTTTTACAGCCAAGAAAGTCAACATATGAAGAACATTAATACAAATCACCTGTGAGGGACCATAAAAGTGTGACACACTGTTGTTCCAGACATTTTAAACTGTGAGAAGCTGAGTTCAGGAAGGCAAAATGGTATGTCTACTTTTGCTGCTATGTTGGTGACTGCATACCCTTGCACAATAGTTTTTCTGCAGAAAGACTGATACAAACATTTATAACTGGATTTTGATCTGAAGAGTTTAAGACTCAGATCAGCCTGACATCTTGGGAGGGTGTTCTAGCTTGCTGGAAGGACAGACTTATTCGACATCCACTGGTACCCCTACAGAACATTGTCCTTAAGAGAGGATGCTCAGTAACGAAGTCCCAGGATCACACAAGCTGGATCCCGTATCTTTTATAATCTGCTGGCTGTCATGACTGCCAAGATATTAAATAGCACTGCAGTTCAGGATAGGTGACCTCTGCCCTGGAAGCATCCAACAGACCAGCATACTAATCACAGCCTTTCACTCTCTGTCTGCTTGATTAAGTACTTAAACTGATCTTCAAAGTTCCATGGAGTCAGATCATTTCAATGTTGTAACAAAAATGTTGTTCAGGATTTCTTTTGTTGTTGATGGAGAAAATTATACTGTAAAAAATATGCTGTTATAATTCTGTGATGATTAAGACACCAAAAGAGTAACCATAAACAAGCTGATTTCCTGGCACAGAAGTTCTTACCCCTGTGCAAGGTCCCACATCAATGCATATTCTCAGAACAAACCTTTGTCTCTTCTATGACAATGGAAATTGCTGTAACTCTCAGCAACAGTCCACAGGAAAACATCAAGTTCCTACCATGTTTTCGTGTACACAGAAGTTCCTCTGGCTATGAGATTCTCTGCCACAGTTGAGCAACCCAGTCATTTCCCTTGCACACACAATGCTGGTAGGATGTTAGCTATATTAAACTATGTAGCAATGTGGTCCTAAACATTTTCTCAATTCTTTGTATAATCACAAGATATTATGACGGTTAAAATGATCTATTAGATCAAATAATTAAGAAATGCCAGAACAAAAAAAGACACTGGAGAGAAGGAGTCAACAATCCAATACATTAGAAATGTGTGTAAAAGAGTCCACTGGAGAAGGACTTCCTACAAACACTGGTTCTTATTAGCACAGTTCATGCTCCATAGCAAGAGTTCATGCTGGATCAGCAGTAATCCATTTGACATGTTAGTAAATCACAGAAGAAATTCAACACCGTATCTGACAGTAAAAGAGGAACAGGTGCATCACACTAATGTCTCTGGACTTTGGCAAATCTTCAGGAGTGTTTAATTTCATTTCACAACAAGCAAAACAAAGTTGAGCATTTTTCAGATTGGCCAGTAGCTTAATTCTCCTTTAACTGGTTTCTTTTAACAACTTTTACCTCTCAGGTTACACAATTAGGCATACTAATAGTTTCAGAGTGGGATCATGAACATAACCAACCGAGATAAAGTAGCTGGCAAAGCACCAAAGCCATGCTAACTTGACATTTCTTTTTCATTTCTGTCTTGAACACAAAAGTGAGGCATAAACCTATGTAATGTGTTCTCATGAGACAGAGAGACACATCCAGTCAAGACACCATTGGGCACCAGCAGATTTTGGGCATCAGATGACATAATTATCAAGTAAAGATGATTCTCTGCCATCACCAGATTCTTACTCAGCATAGACACTGATTTATGAAGGGCATGCAAAGAAAACCAAAGGGAAGACAAAACAAAAAAGGACTGAGGATGATCATGAAGAGTATGAATGTAGAGTTGAGCAGAGAAACAAACCGTGTAGTCCTGTAAAAGTCTCCTGTAAAAGAGCTGCAAGGAACCTGAGCGTGGAAAAAAGCCAAAGGACCTGCTGCTGGGTGACAATGGGGGTCATACCTCTCAGAGAACAGGTATGAACAGAGGACAGCTCACAGGAACTGTTTTCTAACAGCTAATTCAGGAAATAGTTCTGATTTTAGCTGCCACTTCTCCTTCGTTGGACCTAACTGCTTTCAGTTTAGCCTTGGTTTCGAGCAGTGAGTGGCTGAGGCGTTCAGAAATGTACCCTTTCCACACAACAAGACAGATTGCTGAGGGTGCTAGGGAGTAGCTAGATGCCACAGGAGCTCAAACAGGAGTCTTTGTACCTACCTTAAGCTCTGAGTTTGACATCTTATATTTAGTTTCACCTCCCAGGGCTAATAGGAATTAATAAAGTAACGGATCTAAGAAGAAATAATGGATGAATTGTTACTTTTTTCTGTGCTCTACTTCTTTTACTGTCTCATTTGACATCTGAAAATGAACGTCCTCCACCCCTGGCCTCCCATCCTCTGAGCAATATTTTACTTTTTTTCTTAGGAATTAACAAAAAAGCCTAATCATATGAAGAGAGAATACTCCAGTATTTCCGTAGGAGGCAACTTCAGATCCACACAGGAAATACTGCTCTAGCCAACTGCTATTTAGTATCAAACTTCCCACTTCTGACTCTTGGAGAAGGCAGAGAACGCTAGCCAAAAGCTATTCGAACGAAGATCATTATTCTAAAACCAGCACGGTATGGCTGGTGAAATGAAAACAGCTCTTTAGTGGCACTGATGGATGGTGTCCTGCTGCCAGTAGATGGATGCAGAAACATCCGTTCTCATACTCCTCCACAGCATCAGTGCTGCCAAACATGACACTGCTGTTCTGCTTGAGAGAGCTGGCACAGACATGCTCTAAAGCAATCTACAAAGTTCCAGAAGGGAAATGTAGAAAAGGCAAACAGCACATCTACTACCAGATCCTGCTCACAGTCCCACAAGATCCAGTTCTCAGCTCCAGTTTAACCTACAACTGTAAGTAACTAAGGTAGCAACATCAATTTTGTCTCCTGACATAGAAGTACACCTGATAAGTCTTATCTATTTAAAGAGATATGTGGGCATATCCACTTCCATCTCAATGGAAGTCCAAATCATAACTATATAAATTATACCTTGTAGTCAATATACCTCCTTTAACCACATATAAACACATACAGTGTCATTTACGTGTCCGCTTGCTTTGGTCAAAGCCATGGCCCATTGTAAATCACATTTATTGTTATCATGGCAGGTTGGAGAAGTTTTCCTGCCAAAATCGGTATAGTTTCTGAAACAATTCCTTTGTCTCAGATATTTTAAGTATGCTTTTCCCCACTTATCCTGCCTTAACTGAATGTCAACTGTGTATGAATTGCTTTCTGATAAAGGATGATTTTCTCAGTAGCAAACAGGTGTGCACTAACCCTTACTCTGAAGATCCCCAATGCATTAAAACCAAAGGTCTTTACCCTTAATTTGGGCTGATGAACTTCCTTTCACTATCTACATACATTAAACTGGTTTTAAAGCTGAGCTCAAACGTAGATTGCACAAAGCTTTCTTCAGGATCCTGAAGAAAGACTGAAGTAAGGCTGTTTAGTATATGCTATTCACATTTCCCAGATACATCAGTTGATATCAGAAAAGGCTGTTCCTGTCTCTATAAAACATCCTTTGTTAGAGTATGTTTAATTCAGTTATTCTTAGTGTATATGTTATGTTTCTCTAAGCACAGCAACAGGCTTGGAGGAGTGAGATGTTCCTGTTCTCAAGCAGCACCGTGCCTGGTCAGGGTCTACTATAACGGAGGCACAGGTAATGATGCCAGAAGCCTGCAGCTTACTGGATACTGTAATAGCCAGGAACGGCAGCTAGCCTGATGCAGGAGCGCAGGAAAGAGCAACCTCCTGGACCCTGGTGGGACTGGGTGGACCTTGCTGTTCTGAAGAGAGATATAAGAATTAACTAAAGCCAATTTGGATGCAAGGACCTGCCTGCAAGGACTCTCTGGGCAGGTGGCCAGTTGTTGATAAGCTTTTGTTTGTTTCTATGTCTTCTCTAGTCTGTTTTTCTGTTTAATAACATACGAGCAACCAGGTGGTATGCTGCTAAGCCTGACTTTTTAGTTTAGAAGCCTTTTGGGGTTTTGTGGTGGTTCGTTTTGGAAAGGTTTTAGGTAGTTGTGCCCCAAGCTGGCAGGAGTTCATCTTACTCGTGGCTTCATATGGCACATAGCACAGGCCATTAGTATCCCGCAGTGTGCATCCATGGCCTGTTTACATCAGGACTGCTAAAGGCCGGTTTGGTGATTTAATCTCAGAAAGGACGTGGCAGACTAGGAGGATTACCGAGAATGGCTGAAAAGGATCAAGTGATATGTCACAGTGTAATATGCTGAATACCAGCACAGGAAACTTCTTTAATCTGCACTGCTTAGCTTGACAAAATTTAATGAAAAAAATACAAATATAAATATAAATAAAACCCCACCTTCCTCCCACTGAGGAAATCACTGACAAAATTGGAACCTTCTTCCCAGATACAGTTCTCCCCCTGAAATGTTAAAACTACTAGCAGTAAAAGATCTCAGTATAACATTACTTGATATGGCCCTGAAAGAAATGAAGAAATTGAGGACAGCATAAAAACCATACTGCAGAAAACCTGCTTAGGCTAAGGCACTTTCACAATCACTCAGTGTCAAACAGTAATTTCCCCACTGATGCTTCATTAACACTATTTTCCATTTTCAGTCATGTATTGCAGCATATGGAATATATATATAAAAACATGTTTATATAGTGGAATATATAGAGAGATATGTATATGTACTTACATATTTAATAATTTTCCATTATTATATATAAGGATACATCATAATGTAGATATACAATAGACAACAGAGAAAGTTAAGGATTTAGAAAAGATAATGAGATTGCAGAAGAAAAAAGAGAAGTAATTTGAAACGCTTACTATGTCAAGATCTCTACAATCTTTATTTTCTACAAATTTCTAAAGGAACAAACTACAATTTCAAAAAAAAAGTGAGGGAGCTTCACATTCTCTGCATTCCCTCATCACTTTACAACTTTCTAGATCCTCATCTCCTTCATTTTTCCTATAAATCTCACGACTCTTCACTCGGAGCTTGTTGACCTGTGACTCTGCAATGTCAGCCCGCTCCTCGGCTTCCTCCAGGTCATGATAGATCTTGTGGAACTTGATGAAACCGACATTGGACTGCTCCTCCTGTGGGGGGAGAGGGAGCTGTGAAAACAGAAAGGCTGACCCTTCCATTTTCCTCTATCTGTAGCCTTGTAATTCCTGAAGGAAGGGGAAGGTACATAGCCGCTCTTCTGACTTTACAGCTCTTATCTAGGTTCTTAATAGAGATCTTCTCTGTCTTTCTGGTTTCTTATCTAGAAAATTCACTAGAAGTTTGATGGAACTCCTTTTTATCTACAGAATAATACTAAAACTGTACTTTTAAACCAAATGCATACAGCAGTAAGGAGATTGAGGACATGTTATGTTGTATTTTGGAAGAACTTGTCAGATCAGGACATCCATGTATGTCTGGATTTCAGAACTGAACTAAAAAGAAACCATTGCTGGTCACCTAAATATCTTCAAATATGATTGTGCTGAATTTGGAATCCTGCTTCTGATTACCCAGACTTGATGACCTGTAGAAGTAACGTTCTGTTTGGTGCTCTAGGCCTGTTGAATTCTGGCAAGACATTCACAGAAAATAAATACCTGTGAATGTATACAGACAGAAAGTAAGTGTCTGTCTCAAAGAAAAGGGACATGAGTAAACACCATTCACTTCCTAATCCAAGCAGTTATTAAATCCCTCTTTTCCCTCTTTTTGCCTGCTTGCCTTCAATGGCCATCTACCTCTTGTTCATTCGCATTGGTATTTCTAGAACAGGTACATGTTACCTCTGAACAAAATACTCAGACAATCATGAACAACTTTTATTCAATCCAAGGTCTGGGACTTTGAACTTCTAGGTTGGCAGGAACCTTAGGCCACCATCCAGTTCAATCTCCCAATCACACAGGTCTAGCACCAATGTTAGATCTGGTTGCTCAGGGACTTGTTGAGTTTTGAGCATCCACAAGAATGAATGGGTTCCTGTTTCAGCACTTAAGCACTTGGTGAAAATATTTATGCTAATGTCAGTCAGAATTTTGCTGATGCAACTTGTGCCCTTTGGGCGCTCATCCTTTGAATGTGCACCTCCGAGACAAGTTTGTCTCCTTTTCAACACCACCATATTTGACCATTGAAGACACCAAAAAGAACTCTCCTTGATAAATCCATGCTGGCAGTTTCCAATCACCTTCTTCTCCTTCATGTGCCTTGATCCAGGAGGATCTGGAACATGATCTTCCCAGTGCCTGAAGTAAGGCTGACTTGCTGTGACTTCCTAAATCCTCCATCTTCCCCTTCTTTAAGATGAACGCTTTTGCAGTCATCAGAGACTTTTATCATTTGCCAAAACCTTTCAAAGTTAATAGAGAAATTGCAGTGGCATTGGCCAGCTTCCCTAGCACAGTCAGATGCACCATCTAGTCTATTAGACTCGTGTATGTCCAGTTGGCTTAAGTGTTTCCTAGATCAATCTTCCTCTACAGTTCAGCTTTCCTGGCTCCACCCTTGTATGTCCAGGCAATGTCCTTATACTCCTCACAAGATGCTCATCCCTGTTTCCACTTTCCATATACTTCCTTTTTGAATTTAAGCTTAGTCAGGAATTCTCTATTCCAAATATATAGCCTACTGCCAAAACTGTTTGACTTCCTGCACATTCCTGGGCTCTGTATAGGTGGTCTTTAAAAACACAGCTCTCCAGTCATAAGAGTGTCACGAATGAGTGGTTAAGAGGCTGCTTAAAGAATCACTGTTGAAGGCATTAGCAGAAAGTGGTTTTAATAGAAATTTATAAAAGTGCGACTTAAGAGAGTTCAATGGCAAGGTTCACTCTATCACTTACTACACCGATGAAGTATACAAAGGAAAAGAGCATGGGAAGCTGAAAAGTCCTTGACTAGTGATGCAGTAGGTACAGTATCTGCTATTCCATACTGCTCGCATCTGTAATTCTAAACAACGACTGCTCGCTTCTGCAACTCTAAATAATGATTGATACAGTACCTACTATACCATACTGTTCACTTCTGTAATTCTAAACAATGAAGACTTGTTGCTTAGAAGTTAGGCAACCAGCAGGTATTGTGTTTGCAGGTGTGTAGAATTGTAACTGGTATAGAATATGGTCCTGGAAGCATTGTTAGACCCTAGTAAAGATTAACCTTGAAATTAGGAACCGTAAATGAACGTGGTCCAGACATGGCTTGGAGACAAACCTCGACCTTAAAAGGAAAGAAAGGAACTGGCTCATGAAGAGTTCACTACCCTACCAACCACCAGAGACCACTCGAGACCCTCAAGAAGACCTTAAAGCCTTTAGTGCGCATGTGTCTTGGATGATGTAATATTATAATTAGTTCTCAGAAGTTTAACGAATATGTAAAAGAGAAACGTAAAATATGTATGAGAAGCATGGATATAAACAGAAAGGTGATTAGACCAAGTGTGCTTGATTTGTGGCAAGTCCACCGAGCACCCAGGCCTGAATAAAACACTCTCTCTCCTGAGCGTGTGGAATTGGTTATTTGCACACCGGGCATGAATCCACTTTTCGAACAACAGTTTTTGTGACCCAGGTGGGACTGCTGTGAAGCCTTGCCCGGATCGACTTGCTGGCTCTCGATGGGGAGACACTGCACTCTGGACTCCAACATGCGATGACCTTTTGATCGGGGACTCTGTGAGTATTCTCCCCAACCAGAGCAGGTGAGCGACTCAACGGTGCAACACTAAGGTAAATGAGATATTGTTCTGGGGTACAAAATTGTGCATGCATTTGGTAAAGAATTGTGGTCAAAGGTACAAAAAAAAAAAAGGTATATTCATATACGACTAGAGTATATGAAATTGTGGTCAAAGGTAAAAAAAGGTATATTCATATATGTTTTGACAGTGATGACTGGAGTATATGAAATCATGGTTCAGAACATTCTTTTTGGGCAAAAATATGGGAATTCAACGGTCTAAAGTAACTCCTTGCTCACCCCTTGGATGTATTACAAAACATTGGGGAAAATTTGGGGGAGATCTTTTGAGAAAGGAGAAGTTAATTGAGTATTGTACTAAACAGTGGCCAACGTATACATTAGAAGATGAGGAAAAATGGCCAGAATTGGGAACTTTGCAATATAATACTACCTTGCAACTTATGTTATTTTGTCGATGACAGGGTAAATGGAAGGAGGTCCCTTATGTGGACTTGTTCTTTTACCTAGAGAAATGATCATGAAATTTGGAAGAAATGTAAACTTTTAGACTCAGATTCTAATGCAATGATGATGATGATGGAGAATAAGGAATCAAAAACACATTGTTGTTCTGCTTGCAGTATAGGAAAACAGTGTTTAAAACTAGGAGAAGAGGAAGAAGATACACAGATGTTAGTGGCATCAAGTAAAAATGAAGGTTCTGAAACTGGAGCAAGGGGAAGTATTACATTTAGTCCAATAGCTGGCAGAACTAGGACCCAACAGGGGTCTGTTTTATTAACACCCCTTCATCAGGCTGTGGGCCCAAGCGGGGAACCAGTATTTGTGAAGGTACACTTTACAACTTCTGATTTAATGAATTGGAAAGAATTAGCAGGGTCGTATAGAGAAAATCCTGGAAAGGTGTATAGAACTTTTAGGACAATTATTGAAAATCATAATCCAGATTGGCAAGATATTCAAATTCTTTTAAATAATTTGTTAACTCCTGAAGAAAAGAGGGTGGTATTGGAGAAAGCTAATATGGAAAATGAAAGAATAAATGCAAGAGAAGGTCCTGCTCACTTTATGCTGACCCATGGAACCCTAATAGTAATGATGGGAAATCAATGATAAAACAGTATCAGCAATTGATTTTATGTGGGGTAAAAATTGGAATATCCTGTCCAAAGAATTTAGCAAAATTAATCCTGATAATTCAAGGGAAAACAGAAGATCCGTCTACCTTCTATGAACACTTATGTGAGGCGGATAGAAAATGGACGGATTTAGACCCTGAAAGTGATGAAAACAGGACAATATTTACTACCTTGTTTGTTGGACAAGCAGCCCCTGGTATTCGCAAAAAGCTGCAGAAAGTGGATGGTTTTACAGGGATGACCATATCACAGTTGATTAAGATTGCCTATAAAGTATATAATAACAGAGAAGAAGAAGAAAAGAAAAACCAGGAAAAAGAAAAAAAAAAAGATAGGAAACAGAAAGCTGCTATTCTTGCGGCTGCTTTTGTGAATGCCCAAGGACCTGCTGGAGGTAGGGGCAGAGGATATTTGAGAGGTAGAGGCAGAGGGTACTTGAGGGGCAAAGGTAGAGGATGTGGAAATATATTTAGACAGTCTGTTCCATCAGGGACCAATCAATGTGCTGCATGTAAGAAGCAAGGACATTGGAAAAAGGAGTGTCCAGAAAATAGGAAAGTTAGCTGGCCACAACAAATCCCACCTGAAGCTGATCTACTTACGATGGGAAAGGATTCTGAATGGTAGGGACTGGCGGCAGAAAATTATATTCTCCCAGCTGAGCCCCTGGTTCCAGTAAAGCTGGGAAATGAAGTAGTTGATTTTTTAGTGGACACTGGAGCAAAATATTCTGTTATAAATACATCTAAAGGACCGATGAGTAAATTTAATGTATCCATTGTTGGGGTCACAGGAAAGAAAGAGGTAAGGCCTTTTTTGAAACCTTTAAAATGTAAAATTGGAAGAAAAACATTGACGTGTGAATTTTTATATATACTGGAATGCACCATGCCTCTCTTAGGATGGGATTTATTGAATAAATTGGGAGCACAAATTAATTTTTAAAAAGGAAAAACCCAAGTTCATTTTCCTGAAGCTAATGTCTGGCAAGCCCAAGTTTATTTATTACTAAAATGTTATTGATTGCTAAAAGTGTGAGTAATAAATGTGAGATTTGTCTTAGGAACAATCCAAAAATACCAATCTGACCCCCTCCTGGAGAGGTAAGGAAAGGCATAACTCCTAGTAAGTATTGGCAAATAGATTTTTCAGAATTACCAAGGTGCAACCAAAACTGATATTTATTGGTATTGGTAGATACTTTCTCTGGATGGCCAGAAGCTTTCCCGTGTCGAACCAACAAGGCAAAAGAAGTAACAAAACATTTAGTTCAGTGAAATACTCACGTCAAATGTTTTGGCATTTCTCAACCAAGGCCAATGTTTAATGGGAGTTTCTGAGATCTTGGAGTGGCCCGGGGGTGTGAGGGGGAATGCACTACCACAAAGAGGTAGCACACTGTGTCTGTGATCTCAGGGAGGTCTTAGCTTTACAGGGACTGTACACAGACTTCTAATTCCTCCTGCATGTTCCCCATGCTGTATGAGTTTGTCTACAGACACGTAAGACCATTTTCCTGTCATGCTGCTTTCTCAGGGGAGGTGTGAGAACCTTCCTTGTCATGCTGTCTCCCAGATACTTCCTCTCTGCATCAATTTGTCTTTTTATTTGGGAAATTTTGTTACCATCTCCCCATAAACCTAGTTTAAAGCCCTCCTCACTGAATCAGCAAGCATGCTGGCAAATATGCTCTTACCTTATTTGTTCAGATAAATCCACCACTCTCCAGAAGTTCTTGGTCCTCATGAAAAGAAATAAAAGCCAAAGCCATCCCTGTGACACCAGCCACATAACCATCTGTTGATCTGAAGAATGCATCTTTTCATACCCAAGAAGTCCACTTGATCAGCAGAATCAGGGAGGACAACACTTGAGCTCCCATGCCCTTCACTGTAGTCCCCAGAGTTCTGTAATCTTTAGGCAGTATCTGAGTATCAGAAACAATGATTAACTCATGACGAAAGGGATCTCAATAGCTTAGTTGGTCCTGCTTCCTTCTCAAAGCAGGACCCATGTGCCTAGGAGAAACAATGGTTAATAATCTCATGGCCAAGATTTGTTAGTCCCTCCACAACATCCTGGATTAGAACCCTTTGCAAGTAGCAAAATTCCTGAGAAAGCAGATCTGGTTGGCAGATGAGTTCCCCCACCCTATTTAGAAAGGAGTGTCCGACCACTTTCACATCCACTTCGTGGAAGCATGGGTCAGGCTCACGTGGCTCAGATGCCTCCTCTGAAGAAACGTATCTCACTTGTCTCCAGACCCTGTATCTAGTCTATAAGTGTACATCTGTAGGTGGTGAATGTGCCTTCTCCTGATGACAGATGTCAAAAACTTCCAGCTTCTTGGAAGTCTCCATCAAGTGTAGCCTCAGGCAATCTGTCCTTCAATGTAATGCAGGGTTTGAGCTCTTGCACCTCCAGGGTCTCTCTGAGGACTTGTTGATCTCCTGTTTGGCATGCCAGAAACACATCCTGCTCACCTCTTCCGGCAGCTCCTTCACTTGGCAATTCATCACCAGGACCAGAATCTACCAGCCCAATACTCAGGAAGAAAAACTGTGCACTCCAGTGAGACAAATACATTTTTCCTCAGGACATCTGTTTTGACTGAGAACTCTAATGTGCTGGGATGATCGCTCCACCTGGTGCTGGAAACGTATCTGTAGCATGTTGCCACCGTTTCTGAACAAATTCTAGGAGACACCAACAATCTTGAGCAGCACCTCTGGGCCCCCATCTGCATTAAATGCAGTATGAAATGCAAAATCACTGTTGGCACACCCTGGTCACTCACATCCCCTAGAAATGGTATAGATAGAAACACAGCAGCCTTCTAAGAATTCAGTCTACTTTTTCTCAGAGGTACCTTTCTATATTATGTGTAACTTCCATAAGTCTAGCATGCTTATCAAAACCACATTTTTATTAGCAGGGGACAGAAATACCAAATAAAACCATGGTCTTTAAAAACAAAACAAAACAAAACGAAACAATTTAAAAATATTAGTCAGAGAGTTTATAAGAAATTACTTAACTGCTGTGTTCATGTGAAGGAGAATTGAGGATTATTTACATTTGAAAATAAGTTAATTTATAATCTGATATAGTCCTTGTATTTTCAAATATAATTATTTGCTTCTTATTCTGTGAATTCCTGATCAGTCCCAAGAATACACTATCAAACCTGAAACGTATAATGATAAAATGAAAAAAACTCATAAATGTTCAAAATCACTTCCTCAATGTCCAGGTTTTCCCCTTTGAAAGTGTCTTTACCACCACTTAGAGTGATACTTACAGCCTCCTCAGCTTGTCTCTTGTAGGATTTCACCTTCTTCCAGCTTGTCCACCAGGTCCTGCAGCCTGAGAATATTCTTCCGGTCTTCCTCAGACTAGAGTGCTTGGTGAGCAAGAAAGGGAGTGAATTGGTTTCCTCACAACACAAAATTACATTTTCCTTGGAGTTCATGTGAAAAATCTTTGGTTTCCTGGGATGAGGGTGTGTCAGCCCAAGGAGGCCTCTTGCCTTACCTGGTAGGTCAGCTTCTTCACCCTCCTCTCGTACTTGTGCACACCCTTCACAGCTTCAGCACTGTGCTCCTGCTCAGCATCAACCTCCCCTTCCAGCTCCCGCACCTGCAGTGAGAAGCCCATCTTTGGAGCTTCCCTGGTGGTTACTCACGTGACATGTTCACTCATGCACAAATAAAAGCCCTACGCACTCTGGCCTCCAGCTTCTGGATTTGCTTCTTGCCTCCCTTCAGTGCCAACTGCTCAGCCTCATCCAGACGGTGCTGCAGGTCCTTCACCGTCTGGTCCAGGTTCTTCTTCATCCTCTCCAGGTGGGCGCTGGTGTCCTGCTCCTTCTTCAGCTCTTCTGCCATCATGGCTGCCTGATGAGAGCAAAAGGCCAAAGCCATTTTGGGGCTGGAGACATTTTGGGGGAGAATACATCAGCAATGAAAGGAGCCCCCGACTCACATCCGTGATGGCCTTCTTGGCCTTGTCTTCAGCATTGCGGGCTTCCTGGATCATATCCTCCATTTCACCCTGAATTTGGGCAATGTCTGTTTCCAGCATCTTCTTCATGTTGATCAAGCTGCTATTCTGTGCAAAGAGAGATGGCAAGATTTTTATTATAAAGCCTGCAATAGGAAACCTACAGTCTGGGCCAAATCTTTACTCTTCAAGCTTACAATTCAAAATCTGGAATTCTTTTTAAAATGGTTGTTTACAAAATGTGAGTGCTGGGCTCAGGTGATGGGTTGTGAGTATGCCTTCCCTTGTAGACAGCAGTAGAAAAGCTATTCCAGACCATACTCACAACCTAATCTCTGAAACATAGCAGTCCTCCACACTGGGTCTATGTGACAGGTTTCCACACAATGCCCTTACCTGGGTATGGAGGAGCTGCACACGTTCAGTGGCATCCAGAAGCTTCTGCTCAGCCACTTTCCCTGACCGCTCCGTCTGCTCCAGGGCTGCTCGTAGCTCTTCAACTTCAGCCTGCAACAGGTTTGCTCTACGCTCCACCATGGCCACCTGCTCCTTCAGGTCCTCCTGTGTCCTGAGAGCATCGTCCAAGTGTATCTGGGTATCCTTTAAGAGAGGAAAGAGAAATTATAAGGCTGCACAGCACTGTTGCACAATGGCAATTACCACCGGTCTAATAATTATTATGTCAGTCGGATCTTGAGCACTGCCTGTGTATTTCTCAGGTTCTTTTGTGGCCTCTGCAGCCACGCGGTTGGCATGGCT